CGAGATGAGGAGAGACACCCATTTAAAAATAACTGTAATAAAGAGTTTGGCTGGCCTTTGTCCCCAGTTCCTAAGAGAGAGGTAACCTCTAAACCCTTAGAATTTCCTGAGCGATTAGAGTGTCTTTGTTATTCATGGAAGGGCCCGCAAACCACAGGATAGCTTCACTAAGATGACTCAGGGTGGGAGCTGGCCAGCCAGAAAGACCAACCATGTGATTAGAAGGTTGGGGCTTTGAACCATATGATATCAGTCTGACCTCCAGGGAATAGAGGAGGCTGGAGATTTGAGTTCAACGCCAAATCAATCATGTCTATGCAATAAAACCCAAATAAAAACTCTGGATAAAAAGCTCAGGTGAAACTCCCTTTGTGACAATATTCTTTTGAGTGTTGTCGTACCTCAGCGCTGGGAGTTAATTCATTACTGAGGATGACAAAAGATTCAGGTTTAGAACCGTCCCAGGCTTTCCCGATGCGGCTCTTCTTTTGGCCGGTTCTAACTTGTATCCTTACGCCATAATAAAGCTGTAATTATAAGAAAATAAATGCGGCTACAGAAGCTGAAGGAGCCTGACAAATCCTGAGCACATAGAGAAGCTAGACATATTTTGGGGCAGGAAGGTGGCTCGCCTCTAAGGATCACCCTGGAAACTGTGAAGACAGAACTGAAGGACAAAAGGACATGGGGGAGACCAGTTCGGAGGCTACGGTTCAGGTGACAGATACTTAGACGAGGGGAACAGAAGTGCAGTATACAGAATTAGGAACTAGAGATATTAGGAGGTAAAATTAACCGAAATTGGCAAGATATGGGGGGAGGGAGGGGAGTCAATGGTGAAAGGTTTCAAGGCTGATGGTGAGGCTTTTGGCCAGGACACCTGGTGAACAATATAGTGCAGAGACAGGAAATGCATGGAGCAGCTACTCCTTATTCCTGCTTTTTTTTTTTTAAATAGAACGTACTATCTCCTACTATATATTTCCTCCTGTAAACTCCAGGGGAGCAAGGATTTGTTTGCCTTGTTCATTGCTGTGCGCCCAGAGCTGAGAACAGACCTTGCACAGAGCGGCCATGTAACAGGTATTTCTTGAATGAGTGGATTAATGAACTAGTGATTACTAGGTTATTGGAGAAACATGTCTGGAGCTCAACTGTGACGTAAAATGGAGATGCACTCTGTGCTTCCTGTATTTAGGTAAAAATAGAATCTGTGGGCTTGTATGGAGGTTAGCCCAGGGAGAAAGATGTAGGACGAGAAGAGTACCTAGGACCAGATATTGAGGATTCTCATTAATAGCCAGAGGAGGATGAGGCTGCAAAATAAACCAGGAGAAGCGAACAGAGGCAGAAAGAACCAGGACAGTGTTTCAAGAAAGCCGAATGCTGCTGACAGTTCAAATAAGAGGAGACTGAAAAACGTCCATTACTTAGCAACACTGGCAACTTGAAGAGCCAACCCAATCGGTTGGCCAAGGCTCACTGAGATAGGCAGGCTACTCCCTGGGCCCAGCTGGCAGGAAGCCAAGACCTTCCCTTCTCCTTACAACCAATCATCACCAGACTGAAGTACACTGCTGCCTGTAACATTTATTTTGTGTGGTGTTTTTTTTTTTGGCAGGGGGTGGGGTGGCGACGGAAATTAAGTTTTTTTCCCTTGTTCACACATGAACACTAGCAAGAAAGACTATCCTTTCCTGAACTCCCCTCATTGAACTGCTAAAGAAAAATACCCCTGGGTGGAGATATAACATGGTCCCGAGACACGTGACACATAAAGAAGCAGGCAGTCACACTGGGCAAGCACCATACAAACCTGGCCTCTACATCCTTAGCCGTCACTTTCCCCACCTAAGCCCCTTTAAACTTCCCCCTGCCTTTGTTCGAGGAGCAGGCCTGTTCTTTCCCTTGGTGGTGCTGGTTTCCTTGTGCACAAGTAAACCTCCTTTCTCTACATTGGTTTCTGGTGAGCACTTCTGATTTCTATTCTGGGCAATAACAAGAACCCAGCGTGAGAGTGGTAGGACTCTCACCTGTGACCGGGAAGGCCTGGGTTCAATTCTCAGACAATGTACCAGGCTCTGCATTCGTTTCTGGTGATCTCTCTCCCGGGCGATCGCAAGAATCCGGGGTTTCAGGGACGTAACATGACCATATGTGGAGAAAGCAAGACATGCACAGTTTGGGCCTGCATGAACCTTGTAACTTAGGGTGGAGTACAGACATTAAATTAGGTCATTACGAATATCATGAACACCACTGAACTACAGTGTCCTAAGTAAATATATAACAGTGTATTAATGTCATCTGGGAAGCTGAACAAAGCTTGTTAACTATCATTTGTTTTCATCGTCCTGAGAAAAAGTACTTCTTTGGTATTTTAGTAGCAGGAAAGGCTTAAATTGATTTGGCTTTATATAGCTTCCACTCCCTCCCATTCCTTCTATGGCTGCCATAAGTATTCTAGAAGAGAACCTCAAACTCTTAAGATTACAAGAAAACAAAACACCGGAAATGTGCCTCTAAATTCTTTTTGTCAACCTTGAAAAGCAAAGCTGAATGCTACAGAACAACACCCATCCACCTAGTCGCCAAGTCCCCCTTTTAAGCCAGCACCTTATTCCAAGAGCATGGTAAAGCTATTAAAACTGGTTTACCCATATTTGGATTAACCAGAAGCCAAACATCTCCTATCCCATAACCACAAATACCCAAGTTCAATGTAAAATCATACTCCTAATAAGAGCTTTATTCCCTAAATGGAGCTCGAAATGTACAGAAATTGCATTTTAGTTGTAAAATGGGCAGAACTCGTTGGATATAATTCTTTAAGTACAAAGGGGAAAACATATACACACACACACACACAAACACACGCACACAAACACACACAATGGACAACTCAGAGCTATATAGTTACAAGTTTTCAGAGCTATAAAGCTACAAGTTTTTAAAATGTCATCAATCTTGAAACTGAAAAAAAAAAAAAGCTACGAATAGTTCATTTAAGCAAACTGGCCCAAGGAAAAACAGAACAAAAGCCTAGAAGCGTGACCGAAAAACACTGTTTTGGCCCCTAGAGTGGCTCTTCCTAAGCCTTAGGAGGACCCTAGTTAATAACAGTGTACCTACCTATATAGTTTAAGTTTAAAAATTGGCTCTCAAAAGAAATTTCAATCGTTGTAGTGTTGATATTTGGCTCTGCTGACTAGTGAGTTTGCCGACCACTGGGCTAGTTCAATTTCCATGTGTGTGTGTGTGTGTGCACGCATTTTGTTTTGTTTTGTTTTGTTTTTCACCTTACCTCTCCAGAACACTGATCCTGGCCCCAGGCAGCTCTCTGTTCGAGCCCCAGCTCCTCCACTACTTAAATCCTCCACTACTTAAAGGTGATAGCATCCACGTGACCCGGGGTCCCGCTGCTCAACCAACTGAGACTCATTTCCAAAATGACAAGCCTTCGCACCGGGTCCCCTCTCGAACCCCCTCCACCATCCAGCCACCATCCCCCTGAAGGCGACCCAAGTCTCAGCTCCAAGGCCACGTTCCCCGCCAAATCGCACAAAGCCCCTCACCCTCTAAAAGCCTTTAAAAAAGGGCCAAACCGCAGCGTTCCCCTCGCAATTCCCTGGGCAGTAAACCACGCACCATCTTGTGACACCTCCCCCCTCCCACCTTCACAGCTGACTCAAAGGAAGTGAGTTGAATTGTTTTTTAACTTGTGGCAGGCGGCCCCCTGCGAACACTGGCTGCATGGCTGCATCTCATTTCTTAAACACCCCCCCCAAAAAAAAACACCCCAAAAAAACACAAAACCCCAAAACTAAACACCATCTCCCAAGAGCTTACCCTGGGCCAAGCACTAGGGACGCAAAGATTAAAACAGGGGTCCTTACTCCCCGAAAAGCTCCACATCCAGAGGGGAGGACAGACATGAGTGTGAATTACCCAGGAGTTTCAGAAACCCACAGAATGAAGGACACGATGCCAAAGGCAGGCGGACTTGGCTTTGTGCTATACCTTGGGGTGCTTGGTGACAGCAAGGGGGGGGTGAAGGGGTTGGGAAAGGAAGTGGGGGGGAGCAGGAAAGAGATGAATAAAAATTATTTACGAAAACTGTGATTCTCAATGGCCTACATCCCTGTGGGAGGCCGGAGGGAGACCTGGCAGGGAACCCACTGCTGCTGGAACCCGCAATCCCTCACGGACACGTGTTGTGGACGGAGGGCCAGACGCCTAGGCCAGAAGCCAGGACGCGGGGCCGGGGAACCCCAACAGGGAAGAAAGGAAGGCAAATGGGGGGCTCCTGGGGCCCCGTGACCACGTTGCCCGTGTGTCCACGGAAGCGGAGCTACCGAGAAGCCCCGCCCCGAGTCCCGCAGGCCCCGCCCCTCCGGCGTCCGACGTGCCCGCGCGCGCGCACGTACGCACGCGCCAGGGCTGGGGGCTAGGCGCGCCTGCAAACGCGCATGCGCGGCAGGCCTGGCGCTGTCCCGCCTCTGGGTCAAGTCTGCAGCCAGCAGTTCTGTGGATGCTGTGAGTTCGTTTTTTGGCTAAGAATGGTTTTATAAAGGAGACAGCTTCGGTGAGGGCAAGGAATATGTATATATATATATTTGGCTGTAGGATTTTAAGCTGAAATCCTAAACTCAGAATTTTTTTGTGTGTTTTGTTTTGTTTGGGGAAATATCGGTGTTCATAGGTTTAAAATGGCACAGGTATCCGCATATCTTCCCTTCTACTTTGGAGCTTGAACCAGATGTAACTAGCTAGTTATTTATACTCGGGATACAATAGCCATGTAATAATAACTCTTTGTATAGTTTTAAAAAAATAGTTTACAACGCAAATCTAATTTAGAGGGGCCATTTCACACCCGTGGATTATTGAAAAAAAATGGAAAATAAACATAGGCCATGGTGTGGAAAATTTGGAATCCTGCGCATTGCTGATGGGATTGCAGAGTGGTGCAGCAGCTATGGAAATAGTTTGGCAGTTCCTCCAAAAGTTAAACAGAATTACCATACGATCTTATTTCGCTTCGAGACGTAAAAACAAAAAGAAAAACACACACAAAGCACATGAAAGCAGGGCCGCAAACAGATACGTGTACACCAGTGTTGATGGCAACATTATTCACAAAAACCCACCCAAATGTCCATCCATGGGTTAATGGAAAACAAAATGTGGTATAGACATACCATGGACTATTATTCAGCCTTAAAAAGGAATGAAATTTTGATACGTGCTACAACATAGGTGAACCTTGAAAACATTACTCTAAGTGAAGTAAGCCAGTTGTGAAAGGACAAATATTGTGTGATTCCAGTTACATGAGGTACCTAGCATAGACAGTTTTTTATAAAAGACTGAAAGTAAGGTAGTGGTTACCAAGGCCTGAGGGGAGGGAAGAATGGGGAACTACTCCTTAATGACTATTGCCACTAAACTATATACTTAAAGATGGTCCAAATGGATAATTTTTAAAATACATATTTTATTGATTTCAGAGAGGAAGAGAGGGAGTGAGAGATAGAAACATCAATGATGAGAGAGAATCATTGATCGGCTGCCTCCTGCACGTACCCTTCTGGGGATCGAA